GGGGAAAGGGGGGGCACAGGGGTTCCGCATTGTGGGGGGAGCCCCCAGGAGGAAGCCTGCTGGTGGCTCCCAGGGCGTGCGTGGCGAAGCACGAGCTCCAGCAGCCAATCCGCTGTCTGCCTGCAGAGCTCTGCAATTGCACACGGACACCGAGTCATCCGACGGCTCCAGCCCCAAGGAGACAACTGTGAAAATGGGGGAGGAGGCTTTTCCCGCACTCTCTTCTCTCTATTTTGAGACCGTTCGTTTGTTTGTGCCTTTGCCTGTTTGTTCAGAACTGCTCCTAGCCGGTCAGAGCAGGGACCCACATGCGGGAGGCTGCTCCCTCCCATCATAACGCAAAGCAAGGGCAGGGTGCGGTCGTGCCAGGAAAACGGGATGTGCCTGGAATGGGATTGCTTCTCATACACCCATACGGAATAGAGACAATCACCAGGCAGATGAAATGGGGCCCCCTCCCTTTGTCCCGCAGTACATGTGCCTATAGAGACAATGGGGAGGATGAAGCTCCCCCCTCCGCCCCAATTCATAGGGGGGATTGCTGGCTGTTCTCTTTTTCAGGGAGCGAGGGGCAAGTGCGCAGCTTGCTGCATTCCTCACTCTGGCTGGGGAGTCAGGGGACAGATGAGCTGGGCACTTTGCTCTCTCTCCCTGAGGGGCGGGAAGGGAAGAGCAAACAGCCGTGGTACCAATCGGAGTTAAGGACGGAGCAGCGCTGGGTACATGTGCCAGTATTCGCTAACGGCCAAGTGGTGCCTGCTGTGCCGTGTACATCGCACGGTGTGTTCGCCCCACGGTGGGGAGCAATTCAGGGTCTGCTGGGAGAGGGGTTAACAGGTGTTTGGGTTCTCCCGCTGCTCCTCCGAAGCACAGTGTAACTGAACACAGCCGCTCCTTCCCCCGCACAGGAGCCCCCCCCCCCGTCACTTCCTTGGAAGGACCCAAGGATTGGGCTCCAGGCTGTGGGGTGGAGCTGACATGCTCGGTGTGGGACAGTTCTATGGGCAGAGGTGAAGGGTTGGGGTGTGGAGGGGATAAGGGCCATGGGCTGGGGATGTGGGCTTGGCGGTGGGGCCAGACATTAGGGATTCAGGGTGCAGGAGGGGGCTCCGCAACGGGGCAGGTGTTTGGGGCCTTGCGGTGCAGGAGAGAATGTAGGGGTGAGGGTTTGGGGGATGAGGGGTTTGAGTTGCAGGGGGAGCGTCAGATTGGGGCTGAGTAGTTCAGAGTGCAAGTGGGGTTCAGGGTATTAGGAGAAATGTTCCCTCCAATTTTTCCCATCCCTGTGCAGAATAACATTTGTTCTGTGCACTGAGGCATGTGTGGACGTGCACCACCGGTAGAAACACGCGCAGCAGGTGCTCTGCCAATCATCTGGCAACACTGGAATCTCCTGGGTGGCTGCCCAAGTGCACAGCTTGCAGGGGACATTGGTGCCTGCTCTGGGAGGGGAGTGAAGGGCAGGAGGGGGCTCTGGAGGGGGCAGGAGGCTGGGCTGTGGGAGGGGGGCAGAGTGCAGAAGGAGCTTGACTTGGGGCGGGAGGGTGCTGAGGGCAGAGGCAGGGGTTAGGGGTCAGGATGTGACCCCAAATGGAAATTACCGGCCTGGTCAGCAGTGCTGAGTGGAGCTGCCGGGCTCCCCTTTCACCCAGGGGCTGTTGTAAAAATCCGGACACGGGACCCCTCCCGGCAGCCCCACAGCCCCACGGCCCGCTTGCTGCTTTCTACCCCCTCCCCCACACGGCCCCGAGACCAGAGACTCTCTGTGCCCCACCAGGACCCCCAGGCCGCGGTGGGGAGAAGGAGCTGCCCCCACCCTGAGGCCAAAGCAGGGAGCATGAGCTGCCCCAGTCCCAGGGCTGCAGCTGCAGGCCACATGGGCTGGGAGCGGGGCGGGGACCAGGTTCGGGGCAGTGGGGCTTCCCCTTTTCTACCCGCCCATCCCCCCGCCCAGTGGCTCTGACAGGGCTTAGGGCTTCCGACATCCCCAGGGGGATATTTGCTGGGGGCAGGGCCCATTTTCCTGGGGTCCCTGGGCACAAGCCCCATCGGCCCATTGGATAATCCACCCCTGCCTGAGCCCAGCCTGGGAGAGGGATCGCAGGGGGCCCTCCCTGGACAGGTCAGTGGTTGGCCGTGATGCTTCACTGGATGGAGAGCAAATTAGGAACCCAAATCCCCCTCTCCCTGCCCCC